CCCCAAAACCCCAAAACCCCAAAACCCCAAAACCCCATTTCTAGGGACTCTAGTTGAGGTGCTAAAAATAATTTGATTCTACTCTGTATTAATCATTTCAACGTATCTCAAACACTAATCTTTCAGCCATATATTTAGAGTATGGTAAGGACTGAGACTTAGTGAAATCTTTGCAAATTATTTCAACGAAAAACTTTACAGCTTAGAGTAAATAGTTTTTGATCAATTTTGGAGTTCTTTGCTTTGAAGGGCTACCTGCACTTTGAAGATCTCTTACTATCTTCCTATTCTTGTAATCGATATACTCCATAACTTCTCTTGTAGGATCCTGATAGATCATTCTTGGAGTCGGAAAAGCTTTTATCCTCACTGAATTCGGAATAGTGCATCTAGAAAGGGATCTTGTTGACGACTTCTTGCTTCTAGATCTACTCCTAGGCCTTGTGGTTCTCATTGAGTTATGATAATCAAAGGAATCCAAGGTGCAATAGTAATGGGAAAGAGTACTATGGACATCTCTGATTCGTAGCCTATTATAAATCTCATTCTCGGTCTCTGGCACATGTTTGACTCTGGCAGTTTTTATATCTAAATATATCTAAAGAATACTTACTTCTGCTTGACTTTGTGTGAATATCACGCTTAGATTTCTGTTTTGAAATTTTTAGGTCTACACATAATCCTTCCAATTTGCCTTTGGATTTAAGCCTGAGTTTCAAATTTTTCCGTGAGGAACAACATAACCTCTTATCTAGCTTTTTATTGTGTAGTCGCAAGGCAACAGAAAATTTGCTTGGCTTCTTATCTAGGATTATCACTGACTTCTTCTCAGAAAAATCCAGGTTAGAATTCTGATGAGAAATTTCTTCGTATAGGTCTAATAATCGCTTAAGGTCTTTTAGTTGCCATTTTGAGGCAGGTATTTCAGATAGAGATGCTACCACTGCTTTTGTTTGAGGGGTCTGGAAAGTCAATACTTTATACCGTTTCTGGTAGCATAAGAATATTCAATAACAGAGATATCAGCATTTTAATTTTCCCTTGCTGCTAGTGGCAATTTTTATCTCCCCAATCTGAGAATATTCATTGCTTTGTATTAGTTTATTACCTGAAACCAGGGCTTCTTTGATTCGAAAAGTTTTCTGAGAGGTAGGCTTTGTCTGAGGGATGTACAAAAGTGGGTATAAAGCGCCAAGATTATCATACACCTCCTCCTGAGGCTTTTGAGCAATTTCTTTATTTATAAATATTCACAGTATTCCTATCAATCTTGTACAGCTGAAGAGGATCTCAATCTCTTTGAACAGACTCTTTTGGCACTAGAATTAATTGAAAATTTACCTAGTTGAAGTTTTTGTTTGAGGTAGTTTTTCATTTGATCTGCAAGATTCTCTCCACTTTTGGGATCTTTCTTGTCAAACAGCTCACAGAACACCTTAGAATTACATTGAAATACAGGAGAGTTAAATTTATATAGCAAGCTTGATTTATTCAGCTTTGGAGGAAGCATTCATCTATGATTATTATACTTTAGGCCTACTTCTCACTTTTAAAATTTTTAACTTGGAGGAAATAGGTAATTCCTTCTATTGACTCTACAAAATCAATTAAGATGTTGTCAAGAGTATATCCTTTAGGCTTTACTCTTGTACAGAATGCATGCGCAATATCCTTAGACATCTTCTGAGCGAGCTTATTCGCAGAGGGTCTTCACTGGATCAGATTTATCTTAGGAATATCTACTTCTGTACTGACTGTAAAATATTTTAAAAGTTCTACATTATGAATTTCATGTAACTCGATGTTCATCATAGCATTTGTCTTCTTGGGTGAATTCTCTCGCCTGATATCAACCTTTCTTGTATTCACAATTTCGCTTCTTTCAAGGTATGGGAAGTCAATCAAATTATAGTCGCTGGAGATAGACACAGACTTGGTCATTCCTTGGTGATAGACTTCATAACGTGTCATGGAAACTTTACGAGACTTTGATATGATATATGGCTGGATAGCCATATCATACTTGCCCCAGTCCTCAAGAGCTTGCCTGTATACATCATTGAGTCGATAAAATAGGAATATCCTATTCCTATCTGTCTTTGATGCATACCGAATGATGTACTTGGGATAAACATGCTTATTTTATTCTACTACTCTGAGCCTTTTTCGTACTCTCTTCATTATTTTCCAAAGCAATTCTTTAGGTAGTGCTTGATGAGCATTGGATTCATTTCGTCATCAATAACTGTAATGGACCTAGTGCTGGGCTTGGTGAACATAAAGAGATTTTTGTGGTTAAACCCCAGCAAGATTGTAGGCGGTATGTTGATGTATAAAGCCTGCTTTTGAGCTATCCTCGCAACATTGTAAAGAGACCTTACTCCAGGACAAATAGGTCATTCTTCTGGGTAAATCTGGGAGGTCAAGAAATAATGCTTTATATTTGACTGATATTGATTATTGCCATCCTTTGTTAGATACTTATTAGATTTAAAAGGGACATATCCTTCTAGTAAGCTTGAGTTGCGGCCTCTACCTGATTGAACTCGAGGTTTATTAACCTTTTTCTTAGTATTGATATCAATACCGAGATTCTTTGGAAGTTTGAAGATACTACTGTCATCATTCTTTGAACTTCGACCTATAAACACAGTTCAGCTTCATGAGCTAAATTTAGCAATCATTATTGAAGCATCAGCTGGCGAATGAACTTACTCTGAACTGAAAGATTGAACATAGTTGAAAATAAATTTCAATTTTCATAAATAAAATTGGGGTTTTGGGGTTTTGGGGTTTTGGGGTTTTGGGG